TTCTTTTCTTTTTTTACATTTATTTATTAGGGGAGGGAGGCCATGCATGTGCCATGGCACATATGTCAACATGTGTGATTCAGTTCTCTCCCACTACTTGAGGTGTCAAGTTTAGCAGCAAGTTCCTTTATCCACTAAGCCATCTCTTGGACCTTCCACTTTATTCTTTTGATGCAAGATCTCTCGCTGAACCTGGAACTCATTGATGCTGGCTTGTCTAGCTAGCCCAGATCTCAAAGAAATCCACCTGACTCTGCCTCCTGAGTGCTGGAATCAAAATACTGGGCCACCACACCCAGCCTAAATTACATTTTTTAAAAAATCTAAAGCCAGAAAGTAATTTTGGTATTATCTGGTGTGTGAAGCAGGAAGTTAGTTAATTAATTTAGTTAATTAATCAGCTGGCCTGAAACTTGCTATGTAGACCAGCCAAGCCCAGATCTCAAAGAAATCCACCTGACTCTGCCTCCTGAGTGCTGGAATCAAAATACTGGGCCACCACACCCAGCCTAAATTACATTTTTTTAAAAAAATCTAAAGCCAGAAAGTAATTTTGGTATTATCCGGTGTGTGAAGTAGGAAGCAAAATTGTCAGTATTTGGTCACCTTCCCTTCTAGGTCCACTGTGCGTGTACCAGAACTGGCTGGAAAAAGGAGAGCCATGGTTTGCTTCATTTGACAGACTCCCTGTAGTCCTTCGGGCCACCACACCCAGCCTAAATTACATTTTTTTAAAAAAATCTAAAGCCAGAAAGTAATTTTGGTATTATCTGGTGTGTGAAGCAGGAAGTAAAAGTGACAGTATTTGGTCACCTTCCCTACTAGGTCCACTGTGCCTGTACCAGAACTGGCTAGAAAAAGGAGAGCCATGGTTTGCTTCATTTGACAGACTCCCTGTAGTCCTTCTTGGCAACTGTGAGAAATTTCATCTGAACTCTATTTTCCTTTCCAGAGCAAAGATGGCAACACTGTACAAGAGTCAGTATCAGTCCTTCCGCAGAAAAGCGGTGGTGACACACTATCTGTCAG